GCTTAGGCTCTGGAGCCTGCTACAGCTATTCATATGGCTCTGAGGGACATTGAACCAAAATTAGAAAAGGGGGTGGTTGACAGTTTCTGTCTTGTGTCTCATAGGATTGATTTTATGAGATCAAATAGGATTATTCACATAAAAAGCACTTTAATTATAAAGTTTTCATCCAACCAAAAAGTGATGAAAGATGATACTCAGTGTTCTTACTCAAGAGCCCTCAAACTCCTTTGGTGCAGGGAGGGATGTTAGGAAAGGAGATGAGAAATCGCAGTGGCCATGAGAACACGACACCTCCTTTCATGTATCAGAGATTCCTGGCTGTCAACCCTGTTTGTCTTTTCTCTTGGGAGCAAAGGAGGGTTCAAAACTGAGTGGGGCCTGAAGCTGTCAGCTAACATGTGCATTTCTTTTCTCTGCTTCCTGTTCATCTGGCGATCTGGCACCACAGAGGAAGGTAAGTTGTTGCTGCTTCTGTGGGGTCCTGCAGGCCACCTTCTCCCAGTACCTGCCTCCTACCCTACTCCCTTTCCCACCTCCCCTCAGACAAACCCTCAATCGGGGTAGGAGGGTCGTAGAGGGAATGGCCTGGAGTGTCCTGCCTCTCACATTTATGTCCCCTAATAATGTCATCATCGATCTTTTTTTTCTACAGTGACAGCCTCATCAAGGGTAAGAAATGAGCCTAGTCACCAAGAACTCCACCCCCAGAGGACATGGATCTGCTTCTCCAGTTTTTGAGGAGCCAGCCAGGGGTCCAGCACAGCCCTACCCCGCCCCAGTATCATGCGATGGTCCCCCACACCGATCCCCTGAACCCCTCTTGGATTAAGGAAGACTGAAGACCAGCCCCTTTTCTGGGGAATTACTTTTCTCCTCCCTGTGTTAACTGGGGCTGTTGGGACATTGTGTGATTTCTCAGTGATTTCCTACAGTGTTGTTCCCTCCCTCAAGGCTAGGAGGAGACAACCACCAACCCAGGAACTCTCAATAAATTTTTATTACTTAACCTGAAGTCAAGGCTTCACGCTTCACGTGTTCACGAACTGGATAACGGGCAGCACGCATGCGCACGTTCACATATGCGCTCCTGAGTCTGTCTTTGTGTCTGCCAGCAGGGGGCGCAAAAAAAAAATCTGGCTGGGGCAGCTACGGGGAAGCTGGGCCTGGGCTCCAAAACAGGACCCAAACTGGGAAGGCTGGCCCTGAGTTCTGGAGGCCCAGCTGTGCTCTTCACCCCACCCTCCATTTCTCCCACACCACCTGTTTTTTTAAGGCTGGACAGCCATGGCTTTGCTGAGCCAGATTTAAAATCTGATGACCCCAACAGAGCTGCTTCCTTGGTTGCAGGGTTCCTTGTGGCTGTGGGGAGCCTGCCTGTGCCTGTTGAGGCAATTCTGTGCCCAGAAGCCCGGTGGATTGCGTGGCCTGCTGTAGGCCACCCACACTCCATTTCTCAGTCACCAGGCGTGAGGAGCTGCTAGCTAACAGGGCCCCCCTGTGGAGGTGGGCTTTCCCACAGCTCTGGGGCCAACGGAACAGGTGCCTGTCTGTTCAGTCCACAGATAAGCGGACACTTATCTTCCCAAGACAGGCCTTCCTGAATCTCAGGCACCAGAGAAACAAAGCCACTGTTTATACCTGAATCTCCCACTACTGCCCATTTCCCATCCCTGCGGGGAGACAAGGAAGATGGAGAACTCAGACAAAACATGGGGGCAAAGTATGTACAGGAACTGCCAAATGCAGATAGGGCAGCAGGTGGATCTGAACAGAGGGACTGGGTTAATCAGCTTCGATTTTTAAGATGTTTTTCTCTGCTTAGGGTTGAGTATCGAAGGACAAAGCAGACGTCGCAGCCCCAATCCTGAGTTGCTCAGAGGCTGAGATGAACAATTAGACAAAAGGCAGGTCAAGTGACCTGGGTCAGTCTTCCTCATGTTCCCATTCACACTTTATTTCATGTTCCCAAGGCGGGAAGACAATGGAGGTGCCTAGGGAACCAGTGTTTCCAAATCTTGCTGCAGCCGTAAAGGCAGCCATTTTGTCTTCTTCCCATTGTTCCCCTTTGCCTAGTGATTCGTCCCCCATCCAGAGGGGTGAAGGTCAGAAGTTGTTGGTCAGTAGTCCTCCATGGTCTTCAGGGGTCCCTGAAGGTCACTGCCGAAAAACCGACCCGGGAGCCATCTTTACCAGACAGTGTTAGGAGCTTCACAATTAGACCATCCAACACTGTACTGGAAGATGGACCCAGGGCCGGCCAAAAGAGAACTACGGTGCATGCTCACCAGTTGCTACAGGGACCCTGGCCACAGGCCAGGTCAGGTCTCTTGAGAGGGGGCGAGCCAACCCCAAGCTCAAGGTCGACTGTGGGTTCTAGATCCACCAGGTGACAAATCGCACTGGGTGGGAGGAGGGGCTGGGGCCCATTGTGTCCCTTAGTGGCAGCCAGTCAACAAGAGCCACCCCTTGTACAGCACTCTCAGCTCAAGACAAGGGGCTTCCGGGGAGCGTGGGAAGTGGGGAGGGGGCTGCAGCCAGCTAAGAGCTGGGGACCTGAGGCGATGGATGTTGCTGACACAGGGACGGGGGCCTCCATCATTACCCGGCAGTATTAGAGACTCCCAACCGCACCCAAACACTGCTGGGTAAGACGACGGCCCCCACCCAGCCCGCCCACCTTGGGTCAGGCAGCTTCAGGCCCAGGCTCCCTGCGGAAAAGCTGCAGATCCCTGGCTCCCATCCCCCCACCACCCGAGTCCCTGGGGACACTTCCTGGTGAGCCTTGCTACCCGCCACCAGCCACACCCTGGGTCGCTGATTGCTAGGCCCAGGTTGCCGTCCAAGCAGCCTTCCGAAGCCCCTCGTCCGTCGGCCCCCTGCCTCTGAGCCACCTTCCCCCACCCCCGCGGCCTGTCCCGACCCGCAATACACACCAATTTACCCACCCTCGTCCCCCTCTGCAGTCCCTAGCTCAGCCCAGGACCTCTCCCCTGGTGGCCTTTACCTGTCAGCGGGCCCGCCTGCCCCCAGAGAGTGGGTGCCGGGGAGACGAAGGGGCTTTAAGGCCCCAGATTCCACGGCCTAGAGCCCGCCCTGGCCTCCGCTCTTCCTCCTTCCTTCTCCGCCTGCCGGGCAGCGCAGGCTCCTTACCTGGGCCCCGCCTGCCACCCTGCGCACAGGTGTGTCCTCCTGCCATAGGCTGCCCCCTCACCGCCTTAACCCCTTCCCTCCCAGCGCCAGCCATGGGCACCTCCTCTAAGGCTTGGCCACTCCTCTAGGCCTCCCACCCTCTCCCAGGGGCCTCTTTTCTCCAACCTGCCCAGTCTCACCCCTCTCTCCAGAGGAACAAAAAGGGGGGGGCTGTTCTTAGGTCCCCTCCCCACAGCAGCCGCTGCCCCCAGGACTAGCCCATTCTTCTGTGGCCTCAGACCCTGCCCACAGCAGAGCTGGAAGAGATCTCTGAGGTCAGCGAGGGGTCAGCTGGGCAGGAGTTGGGCTGTGCCGCCACACGGTGCCCAGCCTGTGCTGGGATCCCCTGAGGGAAAGAGGAGGGAGAAGGCCCCGCCAGGCCTGTGAAGGGCAGGTGGGTCCCAGCAAGGTGCCCCTAGTGTGGAGTTACCCACCGCTACCCAGAGACCCCAGCTGGCCTGGAGCATCAGCCCTGCCCCTCGATTGAGACCTGCAGAGGGAATGATCGAGCTCCACTCTCCGGACCGAGCTGCTCCTGGACCCACCTCAGTACAGCCCTCAGTGGAGTCCAAGTCCCACCCCAAGGGCAGGTAGCCCAAGGGCGGTTAGAGGAGGTGGGACTTGCCTTTGTGCAGCTCCGGCTGGGATAGAAAGGGCGTTGCTGGGAGAGCGGACCTGAGCCCGACAGGTGATTGCCCCACCCGTGCCCTGGAGGGCCGCAGCCCCAGGGAGCTATTGTGTTGCTCAATCCCTAGCTGTTCTCTCTCCCGGTCTTTGTTTGCTTCCTTCTTAATACCCGCCAGCAATTATTTGATGCTTGTGATCGGGTTGTGAATCTGTCTCCCTGACCAGCCTAAATTCCAATTTGGGGGACTGCGAATGCCTGTGGTGCCGGGGCCTCTATAAGAAGGACTTGCTGAATAATGCACACCCAGCCTCTGGGCTTTGGAACCTGTGCCGTCTCAGCCTTTCCAGGAGTGGGCGCCAGTCCTTCCTGAGGGATGAGTCCCACCGGCTTTACACCCCAGGAGACCAGTGTTTAAATAAAGAAGAAACGCCAATCCTGACATGGGGGAAGGAAGAGGGGACCAAAAAACAAAGCAATCTTCAAGCCAGCCAGCTCTTCAAACTCTGCCCAAAAGGATAAGGGCAGCAGCAGCCTGGGTGAGGGGAGGAGCTGGGCGCGCCTGGGTGCACTGAGGAGCCAGTCCCTGTTCCCGCCAGAGGGGACGCAGCAGGGCTGGCCTCGGGTCTGCGCTTCCGGCTGTTAACTACTCTTCTTAGTTCAGATCTGGAAGTCGGCATCAGGAGAGTGTGATCAGGCCCCCCTGAGGGTGGCCCCAGCTGCAACTCCAGGGTAAGGAGTGTGGACTCTGGGGCCAGACGGCCTGGGTTCAAATCCCAGCTTCACTGTTCCATAACCCTGTGACCTTGGGCAAGTGACCAAGTTACTTAGTCTTTCTGTGCCTCAGTTTCCTCCACTGTAAAATGAGAATGATAAAAGTGCCTAGACTGAACTATCGTGTGTAGTCTTTTAGTGCCTGGGCACATGGCGAGCTTGTGGTGAGTCACTGTGCCCGTCTTATCGTCGGCCGTCATCTCGGTGCTTTTCATAACCACCTTGTTATGATCGCCCTCCATTTTAAAGAAGGAGACTGGGGAGCTTCGCCCACGGTCACCCTCCCACATGTGAGGCGGAGCCCCGACCCACGTCCATCTGACGGAAGGCGGAGCTTTCACACACGGTTACCCATCCTACCCTCCAGCCGCCCACTCACTGGGCAACAACTCACTGGGCAAGCAAAGCGTTCAGAGGTGACACACAGTGATCCCAGGGCTTTATTTACAAGAGGAGAAGGGTTGGCCCTGCCTGGGGCCTGGCTGGGTTATATACAGGGTCAAGGAGAGGTGGGGGGGGATGCAGCCATTTAAATTACAATAGAATGGGGCGCTCCTAGGTTCAGGTTGTGAGTCTGTCCACCGTGGAAGGCTTCCGCAGGTTCAGGGCTGAGGCTGCCAAGAGAAGGGAGTGAGGGAGTGAGAGGGTGGCTGGAACCTGGAGGGGGAACAAGAAGGTCTGGGGCATCTGGGAAGCACAGAGTGAGGCTACGGCCACCCCATCCACCCAGGGAAGGCAGTGGAGCCAAGGACACGGGGCAGGGCCAGGAGGACACCCAGGCAGAAGAGCTGTACCATGGCCACCTGAGGACAGCGCCGCTCACTTCCTCTTGAGGGAACCCTTGCTCTTCTCCTTGTCTGCTGACCGCTGCTTCTTCACTTTCTCCTCCCTCTTGTTCTTACTGTGCAGGTTCTCATACACATCCTCCTTGTGTCTGCAGCGGGGTACAGGGGGCAAGTACAGGCAGTGGGTGCAGGTCAGGAGACAGCACGGGGGACTCGGCACTGGCAGCCCCCTCTGGCCACCCCATCTCACAGGCGACCCAGCCACTGTCCCCGCACTAGACTCCAAGCTCCTAGAGGACAGAGGCTACATCTCATACAGGAGTGCACGGCTGGTACCTAGCAGAGGCCATACGTGGTGGGCACTCGGGAAATGCTTATGAATAGAAAGGGTGAGACCCAAGCCTGAACTTGAAGCCAGGCCCCCCCAGCTGTGACACTTGTCCTCTCCAGAAAGTGAGGATCGGGTTGGGCAGGACAAAGGGGTGGATGCTGGGCGGTGGCAGTCAGGGCCACTCACTTGGACGAGGTGCGGGAGGCCTTGGCATGGGCGTTCTTCATGGCTGGGGGGTAGGTGATGTTCCCATACTCCGACTCCTGGCCCTTCTGCGACTATGGACAGAGGGACGGTGGGAGGGTGGTGGTCCCAGCACGGCCAGGTGGCGCCCGCCCCGCACTGCAGCCCCCCAGGCCCTGCTCTGCACGCACCTGCAGGACCTCCAGCTTCTTCTTGGTGGTTTCAATGAACTGGGCGATGGCCACGTAGATGAACTTGTACTGCGCCTCTGTCTGCACCATGCCCGAGCGCTGCGCCCGCACCATCTGGATGGTCTTCTGGATGTCAATGTCACAGTCCAGGCCTGGGTGGGGGGCAGTCAAACCTCAGGTCCAGGCATAGGCAGACACCGAGGGGCTGCTCACCCCTGCCCCCAAGCCCCCAGGTGCCCCTCACCCTTGGTGGAGATGTTCTCCATGAGCATGTCGATGACAATGATGGTGCCCGTGCGGCCAATGCCGGCGCTGGGGAAAGACGGGGGTTCCGTCAGAGGCCAGTCAAGCCCTCCCGGGAAGGGGGGTACCCAGTGCTCAGCTCCAGCCCCAGGCACCACAGGAGCAGCCTGAGCCTCCAGTGATGGGAGGGAATGTGCCCAGGGTCACCGGGCAAGTGACGACGGAGGTTTGCCCAGCTCTGCACGGGCGCGCTCCACTCTGGCTCTGTGGTGCTGACGCCGGCTCCCCGGCTGCCACCGTCCTTCCCTCCTCCACTCCTCGCGCCGACTCCCCACTCCTGGTGAGTGGCTGCCCCCACCCCAGAAGACCTGGGACCCCCAAATCCCACCACTATCCTGTCGGCTCCCAGGTACCCTGAGCCCTCCCCGCCTCTCCCTGCAGGAGATCTGGCGCGTCTCTTAGCACAGTTCACTTTGTTTTTCTTCAAACCCTGACATCAGGAAAAGGACAGCCCTGAGACAGCAGGGTGCAGGCGCGCCGGGTCAGGGCACTCGGAGGAGCAGGGCCATAGGAAGCTTCTCTTCTTTCCCACCCCTGGGCAAACAGACGCCAGGGAGACCCCAGGCCCATCCTCGGCTGGGCCCATCAGGCTGATGCCCTGAGTCGCACTGTCTAATTTCAAACCCAGATTGTCAAAAATAACCCCCCACACCCACTTCCTTCCTGTAACGTCTAAATAAAGGCCACGGGGCTTCCAAGAAGTGTGTGATGTGTGTGTGGCGGGTGAGCAGGAGGGTAGCTCTCAGGGATGGGCCTGTCTCTGAGAAAGCAGAGGACAGAGCCGGGTCCCCGAGACAGCCCGTCGGGGGCACCTCTAGATTCAGCCGACTTGTCCCAGGACAAACAGCTGCTGGGCGAAGAGGAGGAAGCCAGAGGCTGTCGCAGGCCTGGGGTCCACGGTGGGTGTGGGAAGGGACCACAGCAAGGCAGGTTCCCATTTCCCCCATTCTCTGCCTGACGTGAGTTACTAAACCAGTAACAGCGCCCCGTGTTTGAGGGCTGACGGAATTCCAGCCGCAACGACAGGGTCTCACTGAGTTCTCACTAAAACCCTGGGTCCTGATTTTACAGAGGAGGAAGCTGAGGGTTAGAAAAGTTAAGTAATTTGTCCAAGATCACGCAGCTGGTAAGCGGAGGGGCCCTGCACCCGCTGCCTCTCATCCACCCAGGCCAGGCCGGCTCAGTGGGCTCATCTGTGGGACCCCTGCTCCTCCTTGAGGCCCCCACCTCTGCACCTTACCAGGGTCTCCTGATCACAAACATGAGGGTAGATAGAGGAGCTATGTGCACCCCCAAAAAGGCATTGTCCATCCCCACACAGCCCTGGGGGCCAGGATAGGGCGCCGCCTGGGGAAGCTGGGATAGAGGGCGGAGTCAGGAACAAGCCAAAGCCCTGGGTCTACCGATACAAAAAGAGGAGGAATGGGGAGCACAAGCCCCATGGATGTTCCTGGGAGGTGAGAAGAAACCAACGGAGTGAGACCTGGAGAGAAAGCGGAGCAGCCAGGACCCAGGCCTACTGTGGGTGCCTGCCCAGCCTTGCCCTGCCTAGCTTGGGCCTGGCCAGCAACTGGGTCCCAGGTTCCTCCTCTGTATTTGGCAGGGTTGGGCGAGATGGTACATCTGGGGAGGGCTCTGAGGAAGACACCCGCAGGCAGAGGGCCAAAGTGGGGCTGGTTCCAGCCACGTTCCACCCGGGGGTCTGGAGCCATGAGGGGACCCAGAAGAAGCCGGGAGTGAGCGGAAGGCACTAATCGTGTGAGCTAATGTGTATGTTGCTTATAACGCTCATGGCACTTAGCAGTATTTAATTCTCAGCGGTCACTACTACCATCAGGATTATCATCCTCACCTGCAGTGCACGATGATGGGCCCTGCATGAGGCAGACTTTCCTGCCGCTGGTTGATCTGGTCCAGAAAGCTGAGGACACCCCCAGGCTCACTGGGGACCCCATGGTCGGGCCAGCTCAGGTACTGGTAATGCCAGATCTCCCGAATGAGGTCCCCCTGGGCCGAGGACACAGGGTCAGTGCCCCCTGCTCCCTCGGAACACCCCACCTGTCTCGCCCTACCCAACCAGAGAGGAGAACAAGTCCGGGAGGGACTCCCGGAGCAGGGCAGGGAGTGGGGGCTGCTCACATTGTCCAGTGGGGAGACGTGTAAGGTGCGGAGTTTGTATTCGGTCGTGTCATGCTCCCCGCAGTTGGTCACAGAGTAGGGCCCATAAACGCGCTGAGTGCCCACCTCGGGCCAGTATGGGACACATTTGTTCTGGAAAGGGAGGGTCGGGTGGGGATGAGGCACAGAGCAGGGCGCTGTGGCCCATCCCAGGTGCTGCTCTAGGTTCTGAGTGCCTGGCACCGGCCCAAACGTTTGTTGGATGGATGGATGAGCTGGCAGAGAGGCAGGAGACCTGGGCTCTCGTCTCAGATCAGCCACCAACAGGTGGTGCGACCTGGCCAGCCGCTTTACCGGTACATCCATTTGTCATTCAACAAACATTGCCGAGGCAGGCGTTGTCCCTGAAGCCGTGCAAACCAGGCTGCAGTCACAGACACAGCTAACACCCAGTCTGTGCCCCTGTGCCTGGAGGAGCTCACAGAGACAAGTGACCGGGGAGACACCGCGCTGAGGAGCATGGCTGGGAACGAGGAAATTCGCCCTCTAGGTCCTGGAGAAAACGAGACCTGAATTCACAGAGAAGGCAGCGCTTCAGCTGTGTCTTCAAACACGAGGCATCTGCCGGGCAGACACAGTGTGGAGAGAGAGTCATTTCCTAGCAGAAAAGAGCTTGTGCAAAGAAAGGCTGGGAACCTGAAAGAGCCACGGCTGCTGGGAGCGGTGAGCCTTCAAGAGAAGCGTGGGAGTCAGAGGGAAACCACCAGGCCTTGAACGCCAGGCCTTCGAGTGTGACTTTATCCCAAAGGTGACCAGGAGCCATGGAAGAGATTTCAGAGAGGAAGGAACTTGACCCAGTTTGTCACGGATGGCATCACTTCAACGGCAGCACAGAGGGTGCTGTGTAGGGGGAGCCTGCAGAGTGAGGGGCAGACTCCAGAGACATCTATGGGGCAGGGAGGACAGGAGGGGCCTGGATGCAGACAGGTGGGGAAGGTGTAGGAGGAAGGAGGACAGCCTGAAACCTGGGTCTGGAGCTCAGAAGAGCCCAGGGGTGCATGCAGGGATCTGGGGGTTGCATTGTGTAGTCGAGACTTTGTCACTAGCCCTCAGTTTCTCAACAAGGCTGGACCCTCACCCCCGAGATCCCTTTCTGCCCTGGCATCTGACGGTTCTTTGACTTAATGGTATGACCACAAGGATGGGGCACGGATGTGGGGATGGGGCGGGGTGCCCTACCCGGCCTTTCTCCACCTCTCGGGTGGTCATGACGATGACGCGGGTGTTCTCCTGCCACGCCATCTGCCAGAAGTCGTTGACCGTGGCCTCTAGACAGCCCTGGCTGGCGATGTAGGTCTTAGTGTTCTCATCAGGGCCTAGCAGCTGGTTCTGGACACAAGCGTGGAGAGACGCACCCCAAAACAGTGAGCCCCTCAGCCCAGCACAGGGCCTGAACCACTGCTCCCCTCACCCATGCAAGAAGCCAGCTTTGGCTTTGCCCAGGTGTCTCTGGATCTAGGGTCCCCCACCAGACAGGGAATTCCCAGGGCCCAGCCTCTCCTCCCACATGACCCACACCACTGACCTTGATGTAGTTGGCATTGATATAGTCGGACCCAGGGATGTTACTGTCACGTCCCTGCAGGATCACTCGGCTGTGGTCAACTGGGAGCGGGTGGAGAGGAGGCGAGATGGCCTGGGTCAGCCAGGGACTCACCACACCTGCGTCAGACCCTCCTGAGCTAACAGGCCGTTCTGGTCTCAGAAGCCATGAGGCTTGCGGGGGACTGTGGGCAGCAGGGGTGGGGGATCATCTGTATGGAGGGAGTGAGGGGATTCACAAGAAGGAGGTTGGGAGCAAGGGGCAGCCTGCCTGCTGGGGGCGGGGAGGCACTTCTGGGAGGAGTAGAGGCCTTTTGGAGAAGGGGTGTGGGGAGATGGCCCCTCCTGGGGTGGAGGGTGGAGACCTGTGAGATAGGGGCGGCGGCTGGGGCGGGGCGGTCTCCTGGGTGAATGGGGCAGGCTGGGTGCTCACAGGGCAGAATGTTCTTATAGCGGTTCTTGCCCTTGTTCTCTGGCCGCTGCCCTTCCAGACGCTGGTGCAAGTTCTTCACCTCCTGCTTCTGCAAACTCTGAGATGTGGGTGAGGAAATGAGCATCACCTCCCAGAGAGAGCACCCATCAGGGGAGCTCACGTGGGGTGGGTCAGGAGCAGAGGTGGCCAAGGGGAGGAAGGTGTCCGCCTGGGGCCCCACGTGGCCGCCACTGCCTCAGCTGCCCCAGCCCTGCGGGTTCCCCACCACGCACCTCAAACTCCTCCCAGAAGCCAGCCTTGGCTGTATCCTCGGACTCCTTCTTCTTGTTCAGTTCCAAGACTCGGTTCTCAATGTCAGCCGCATTCACCCGCGTGGCGTAGTACGGCTGGGATAGGGAAGAGCGAGAAGTCAGCAACTCAGAGGTCTCAGAAGCTCACACCTGGGAGACAGCTCAGGGGAAGGGAGGAAGCAGCTGGGCCGCCGCCTGACCTGCCGCAGGTAGACAAAGGCACCTGAGGCCTCCTCAATCCCCGTCTTCTTAAAGTGCTCCACCAGGTCCGTGAGGCTGTCGAAGGTCTCTGAACCACCCACTGTGTAGCGTCCACCCTGGAGGGAGCCAAATAAGGCCACTGACAGGGCTCGAGTCTCCCTCCCTGGGCCCCAGCCTTGAATTCAAGCCCAGGCAGACCCTCCCTGCCGCCCACACTGTGGTCACAGACAGGAGCCTCAGCAGAGGCTCCCCCACCTGGCTGCCTTACCTCACACATGACCTTGATGTGGGTGACCCTGAGCGGGGAGCCTGGGCCAGCCTTGGGCTGGTCACTAAGCACAGATAGCACAAAGTCTCCGGGCTGGCTGAGGCTCTCACGCACCAGAAACGTCCAGGGCTCGCCCTTGGCCTGCAGCAGCGTCTCTGCCTGCCCTCCAGACATGTGGCCATGGTACCACCTACAGAAGGCAGCGTCAGGGAAGGTGAGACCCAGGCCACAGGGGAAGGTGCTGAGCAAAGATATTCACAGAGAGGGGCAGGAAATCGAGCACCTACTGTGGCCAGGCACTGCGCTAGATGGTTCCAAATCCACCATCGTACTGATGCCTCTCACACATATGCTGAGGGCTGGGTATGATATTACCCCCATTTTATAGATGAGGAAACTGACGCTGAGCTGTTCCTCACTGGCCTAGGGCCCCTGATGGACACCAAGGCAAGCCTCCAGAGCTCTGTTGCCCAGGCTGGAGTGCAGGGGCACGGTTATTGCTCTCTGCAGCCTTGACCTCCCAGACTCAAGCTATCTTAGCCTCCAGAATTCTGACCAGGCTTTGAACCCAGAGACCACCTCTGCAAGGCAGAAAGGCTGGCAATATTCCAAATATTTAGAAGAGAGAAACTAAGGAAGAGTCTCCATGAAGGATCAGGCTGTGCCCCGGCAGAGACCAGAGGCAAAGAGAAACACAGACCAAGGCCACACCACAGGGAGTGGCGGGAGATGGACAGAGAGACACAAGTCACAAGGAAGGCCAATGGGGTGCGCTCCCCCAGGGAGGCGGGGAGGACAACCCACTGGGGAAAGAGTCGTGTAGGGGGCTCTGGGGTGCCCTGGATGATGTCACTGAAGGGGAGCCCAGGGTTCAAAAGGGTTCAAAGGGATTCAAAGGGGCTGTCGGGGCAGAAAGCAGAACTAAGCCCTTTCCCCAAAGCACACCCCTTTCCCAGGAGGAAACTGTAGCCCCACAATGCCCTGCCCCACAGGAAACCACGTGATGGAAAAAACACAAAACTCCTTCTGGGGAGAGAGTGAGAAGTGAGGTTGTGAGGTTTCCTCAGCCCAGGGACAAGGGGAGGGCGGGCAAATTTTCCAACCGCAGGGATGGGGGAAAGAGGGGAGGACCAGTCTGTCCCAGCCCATCTCACCCCTGCCCAGAGGTGACTCCAGCCGAGAGACCCCCCAGAGCCTCCATACCCCATTAGGCCACTTCAGCCCACCACTTGGGGACAGGCTAGGACCCCAGGCAGCAGGGAGGGGGCTGAGCCCCTTCCCTTGGGCCCCAGGATGAGGAAGTCTCCATGCAAATGTCAGGCTGACCACAGGAAGCGCAGAGCCACCACCGGGGGACAGATGCAAATTCCCGCAGAGAAGGAGGCGCCACAGACAAGGCAGGGGACACAGCAGAACCTGGGAGAAAGTCTCTCACACACTCCCAGGTTTGGGGGTGACACTGGCTCCTGGGATGGGTCACCCAAAAGGGCCTTCAGTGTGGCTTCCCCGGTCTTAACCTCCTGCCCCAGCACTGCCCTCCCTTCCTTCTCTCTCTTCTCTTTGGACCCAGGCCTCAGCCTCCTCTGCAGGGGCCTCCTGGGGCCCTGCTCCTCTCTTCCAACTCTAGGCACTGGTCAGCCCGTCCTCCTCCTCCTAGCTTGAGGCAAGGAGAAACAGAGGACATGAGCTTTAGAGGGTCTCACTGGCAGAAGCCCCCTGAGTGTTGCGGTGGGGAAGAGGAAGGGCAGGGGGCAGACACAGAGCCAGCCATGTGAGGCTCAGAGGAGGAAGGCCTTGAAGGAGGCAGATCCAGGAAAGGAGGCCTCCCAGGTGGGCCACAGGGCTGTACCGCGACCGAATCCAGCTCTAAGTTTCAATCAGTGACTTGACCAACAATACTGATGCAGTTTGGAGGCCCGAATCTCAGAAAGGCTGCAAGCTGGCAGAAGCAAGTTTCCCAATCATTTCAACAATCGATCCACGAATGCAGGGCAAGGGCAAGTCGGCTTGGCCCAGGGGTCCATGTGAAAACCCCCTAGCGTTATTCCGCTGCCCTTTAAGAGGATCTGGCATTGAGATGCGGCTGCTGAAAGGAGCCATGGTGTCCTGAGGAGTGTTCAAAGCCCCCCAGCCCCCCATCCATGCCTTTGGAAGACCACAGGAGGAGTCGAGGAGGGCACAGGAAGGAAATGCCTGGAGTATTATTCTGTGCCTAGGACAGTGCGAGACCCTTTACACAGGTGAACACTTCACATCCTGCTTTCAGTGATCTCTGTATTTGACCCCACAGGACAGACCCATCCCCACTGGGTGGCTGGGACAAGGTATCAAGTGTCCTGGCAACCGTTCATCCCCATCCTCATCCGCAGTGTCAGCTCCTCACTGTCCTAACATGCACTGGGGTGAGAGGCAGACGGAGGAAGGCAGGCTTGCTTCCAGAGGAAGAAGAGCTTTCTAACAACAGAGCTGGCCGGCACGATATGCTGGCCACCAGCAGTGGCCTCCCTGTGTCTAGTGGGACCTGGGCTGCAGCGGCCAGGGCCGTTGGTATAGGGCAAGGCAGCTTTCTCTGGCTTCCTCGGGGTTAGGTGGAAAGGGTGGTAGGTTAGGCTCTGAGACACCAGGCCACAGGACAGCATGGAGGAGGGACACTGAGAGCCCCAGCCGGTGCGGGGAGGGGAGGGGATGGAGGGCAGGCAGTGCCAGGTGCCAGGCTCCCTGTCTCCCTGGCCGCTCAGGGCGGGAGCCGACTCACCCCTGCTTGCGAGTGGCGGGGGTACAGAGGCCTCACCTCTCGCTGGTGGGATCGGAGCAGTTCAGCGGGTACTTGAGGTGGATGACGGTGCCGTCGCGGTCCTGCAGGACGCCCTGCTGCTGAGTGTAGTACTCCACCAGCTCTGCCAGCGTCGCGAACTTCTCCCCTCCATACAGGTCATAGAAATCCCCTGAGTTCTGGATCCGAATATGGGTCACCTGATCCCCCACCCTGCAGGGCACCAGGCGGTGAGGCCAGTCGGTGCCGGAGTAAAGCAGGAGGGCAGGGATCGGCTGAGGTCCTGGGTGGGGGCACACATGGGCGTGGGTGGGCACAGACAGGGGTGGGGAGGGCGGGGGTGGGGCGCGAGGGCACAGACGGGGCGTGGGGGTCGGGGAGTCGGCATTGCCACGGGGAACCAGGAATGAGTGGTTTAGGGCCTGGACGGCACAAGATAGTGGCCAAAACACCGGGGGTGGGAGGGCCACCTACCTGACAGAGAGCGAGAAGTCACCCTGGTTCTTGCGACTGGGCCGAGCCAGGAAGCTGCCATGGACTCCTCGGCCCTTGAGCAGGGTCTCTGCATCCAGCCCACTGAGGTCTCGGTGAAACCACCTGGGCGGCCCAGGCAGGGCAGTGAGGAGGGGTCCCGTGGGCACCAGGCACCCTTGCCTCCTGTCTACCGTGGGTGGCAGGCCCTTACCTCACCATCCTGGGGGCTTCCGGAGAGGAAGGGGGCGCAGGGAATGAGGAGGTGCAGCTAGTCTGGGCAGGCGGAGAACTCAGGGACTAAGCCTCAAATGCAGCTCCCAGTGCCAGGCCGCTTCACCACCCCCGGTGGTCCCAGTTCTGGGGCTGCCACTCCACTGGCCTGGGGCGGCCGGCAGGGCGGGGACAGGAAGAGGCGCGGCCGACCCCTTGGGGGAACTCACTTGCACTTCTCGTTTTAGAGCAGAGCAAGGGAAGAGAAGCAGAGCACGGTGGCACTGGGGGTGGGGACGGGGCCCACTTCCCACACGTCTGCAATCAAAGGCTCAGGAGCATGGCATTGCACATATGTGACAACACATGCACTAAGGACACACACGTGCATTGCACACTCCAGGCCCAGATCATACTTCATGCATGTGAACCGAGACACTCACAGGGCATCTCTTCCTCCTCCACCAGCTGCTTTTACACAGCTCTCCCTGGCCCACACTAATGACAATGATGGCGGTGACAGCTGTCAGCGAGTGGGTCCTGCTGGATGCCGGGTGCTGTGCTATAATGGCGTTCACATGCCTCGTCTGATTGACTTCTCACCACAGCCCTATGAAACAGGGGCTATCTTCATCATCTCACAGACAAGGATCCTGAGGCTCAGGAAGGGTCAGGCATTGCCTGAGTCCCTCAGTGAGTCAGCTGCAGTGCCAGGATTCAAACCCAGACAGGCCGGTTCCAAAGCCAGTGCTTTGAACTCCTATACACCAGCCCTCAGGGCTTCAAAGAACAGAGATTAAGAGCCTCCTTGTGCAAACGGGCTGCCATGGGAGCGGGAGACTGATAGTTAAGACCTTGCCAATGCTTGCAAGAGAGAAGGGTGCACTTCTCTAACCAACATATGCGGTTTGTCTATGCCACTGTGGCAGAGGGATGGACAGCGTGACCCTGAGCAGCCCTGTCAAACTTGGGTCCTTTCTGATTCTTGTCCCTAGGCCTCTGCCCTGCCCCAGGACTCCCACCAGGGGGCCTATCTCCGGGGGGCGGGGGACCAAGGTCCTCGCCATGGCTGATTTTCTCAGGGCTGGTTGATCTTAGAGGCCCTAAACACTAAGGTATATGATGCTCCCTGCCCGTAATTCCAAATACAAATGCCAACACGGCCAAACCAAAATGAGGAAAAGAAGCTCAAGAGGGGATACATAAGAAACACATATTGATGGCTTCCCCTAGGGAGGGAAACTGGGTGGCTGGAGGACAGGGCTGGGGGGACACTTGGTTCTCTACATACCTTTTTGAATGTTATATGATGGGCATGCATTACCTTTACAAAAATAAATATGCTAACTGGGAACAATTTCTGGGAAACTTTTAGGGTGCAGGGAAGGCTCTTTGTCTCTACCTGGATGCTTTTTGCATGGGTGTGTATAAACGTGAAGTCGGCCGGGCGCGGTGGCTCACGCCTGTAATCCCAACACTTTGGGAGGCCGAGGCTGACGGATCACGAGGTCAGGAGATTGAGACCATCCTGGCCAACATGGCGAACATGACGAAACCCCCTCTCTACTAAAAATACAAAAAAATTAGCTGGACGTGGTGGTGGGTGCCTGTAATCTCAGCTACTCGGGAGGCTGAGGCAGGAGAATCACTTGAACCCAGGAAACAGAGGTTGCAGTGGGCCGAGATCGTACCACTGCACTCCAGCCTGGTGACAGAGTAAGACTCTATCTCAAAAAAAAAAAAAAAAAGGTGAAGTCAGGTTGTTGTGTACTTAATGTTTATGAACATTATGCATGGTTTGCTTCAGTTAAAATAAGAAAAAAATAAAGTTTTAAGCCCAACAAGTCTAATTTTCCCATGATAACTACTTTATCATTTTTAGAAACATCAAACATCAATGTTTTCCCCCAAAAGAGGCTTTTCCACTTTTCCTTCTTCCTTTATGTTCTATTTGTTTCTGGTTTTCTTCTCTCACTGGTGCCCTGGGGAATCTGCCTGGTGGGTTTATTGCATGGTCCGGCTTTGACTACCCCTTCAGCTTGGACACCACCCTGGAGCCCCAGAACTCCACGGAACCCCCATGCCCAATGCCAAGGAGCAAGAACACAGCAAAGCACGCTGCAGTGCGGGACACCCGCTGGTGCTCTCACTCATCTCAGTGTTCAGAGTCCAGTGCGAGTCCTGGCACTGAGCAAGTGTCTAACAAACAAACTTGTCAGTCCCTAGGCACATACCTGGCCACAAGTACAGCTTCCTGGTCCTACACACACAGCCTGCTTGTCATACACAGGCAAGGATGCACACACAGCCACGGCACATGCACCTCATCATCCATGTCCACCTACACAGATACCTGGTGCGGTGCACATCCCCACGCGTGGAACGTAATTCTGACCACACACAAAGTTTCAGGTCCATGCTCAGCACCAAACGCCCACTGCACCCTGGCCCCAATACACTGTCCTTCCAGGGCTTAAACCCACTTGGTGGAAAGAAACTAGGTACCCAGAAGAAACTAACTAGGCACTCTTCCTGAACCATGGAACAGGCAGGAATTTCTCTGAAGGGTGTCAAGCCAAGATGCAGAACTCAGACAAGAGGTACAGTTTCTGCTATCCTTTGGCAGGAACATGAAAAACTACCTCCCTGACCTTGGTGTGGTGTGGGATTTGCAGATCACTTTCACATACATGATCTCATTTAGGCCTCAGACAGCCCTCTGATGTAGGAATAATTTACCCCGTTTTCTTATGGGAGGAAACAAGCTCAGGGAGACTAAGAATTACAAAAGTAAGTGCCTGATAATTCAGAAGAAAAAAATATTTCCTTGGAAGCAGGAAGATAAAAGTCGAGATCAAGGCCGGGTGCAGTGGCTCACGCCTGTAACCCCAGCACTTTGTGGGGCTGAGGCTGGTGGATTGCTTGACCCCATGTTTGAGACCAGCCTGGGAAACCTGGAGAAACCCTGTCTCTACAAAAAATACAGGTGTGGTGGCGCAGCCCCTGTAGCCCCAGGTACTTGAGAGACTGAGATGGGAGGATCGCTTGAGCCTGGGGTGGTCGAGGCTGCAGTGAGCCATGGTTATGCCACTGTAATCCAGCCTGGGTGACAGAGTGAGACCCTGTCTCAAAAAATAAAAATAAAAATAAAAATACAGCTGGGCGCAGTGACTCACACCTGTAATCCCAGCACTTTGGGAGGACGAGGTGGGAGGATCACTTGAGGTCAGGAGTTCGACACCAGCTGGGCAACACAGTGAAACCCCGTCTCTACTAAAAATACAAAAATTAGCCAGGCGCGGTGGCAGGCGCCTGTAATCCTAGCTATTTGGGAGGCTGAGGCAGGAGAACCGCTGGAACCTGGGAGGCGGAGCTTGCAGTGAGCCGATATTGCGCTGCTGCACTCCAGCCTGGGTGACAGAGCAAGACTCCATCTCAAAATATATAAATATAAATAAAATAATTTTTTTTTTTTTGAGATGGAGTCTCGCACTGTCGCCCAGGCTAGAGTGCAATGGCACCATCTCTGCTCACTGCAAGCTCCGCCTCCTGGGTTCACGCCATTTTCCTGCCTCAGCCTCCCAAATAGCTAGGATTACAGGCGCCTGCCACCGCGCCCGTCTAATTTTTTTGTATTTTTAGTAGAGAAAGGGTTTCGCCATGCTGGCCAGGATGGTCTCCATGTCCTGACCTCATGATCTGCCCGCCTCAGCCTCCCAAAGTGCTGGGATTACAGGCGTGAGCCACCGCGCCCAGCCCAATGAATTTTTAAAAAATTAAAAACCAAGCCAGGCGCGGTGGCTCACATCTGTAATCCCAGCACTTTGGGAGGTCGAGGTGGGCAGATCACTCGAGGTCAGGAGTTCGAGACCAGCCTGGCCAACATGGTGAAACCCCGACTCTATTGAAAATACAAAAATTAGCTGGGTGTGGTGGTGCACACCTGTAATCCCAGCTTCTCAGGGGGCTGAGGCAGGAGAATTGCTTGAACCCGGGAGGTGGACGTTGCAGTGAACCGAGATCGGGCCACTGCACTCCAGCCTGGGCGACAGAGTGAAACTCCGTCTCAAAAATAAAAAAATTAAAAACCATGCAGACCAAGATCAACGGTGATATAAGAAGGGAGGCAGTCTGGAAGGGCAAACAAAGCAAAATAATCTGTAGAAAGTTCTTGAACTTCTCTGAGCCTCAGAATCCCCGTGGACAAATGAGCTTAACAATATTTCCCAAATACTGATGTGAAAAGCTGGTAAGTGGCAGGGTTTCAGTGCCTCCAGCTTTTACATTATACTGTTAATCCTCAGGCCAATACTACTTAGTAGGTGTTATTCACCCAATTATAGAAATAGAAACTAACACTCAGAGATGTTAAGTAATTGGCCAGGGTCACAAGCTCGTGAGTGGGAAGGTGGGTAAAACAAGGATGTCAGATGCCGGAGCCTGGTGCCCTTTTCACCACCAACCATACCGCAGCAGACAGCGTCGGAGTCAGATGGGATAGGCACCGCCACAGCCCATGATGGAAGGTGGAGGAAGAAGTGCTCCCCCAGAGGCAACATGCATCAGGGCAAAGGGGTGGCACGCACAGAGTCCACATGTGCAGTGCCTGGCTGTGAGCAAGCCGTGTGGCTGGAGCAAAGCTGTTCTGAGAGGTTGGGACCCTGCTGTAGAGGGTCATTCAAGGCCAGGCTGAGAAACCAAGGATGGAATCTGCACCAAGGGAGGCCTGGCCAAGCTACCTGGCAGGAAAATGACCACGGAAGGGATCAAGCACCAGAAGACTCAGTAGGAACCCCATCGGTGGGGCCGACAGTGACAAGACGTGCACTGGGGCAGGAGCAGACGTGAGTGTGAGAAGCAAGAATCAGCAGGGCTGGGGAGCCACCCACCCACAAACTCACCAGTACTCTGTAATCAGGTTGTCACTTTTTCTTTTTTGTATTTTTTTTTGGGATGGAGTCTCTCCCTGTTGCCCAGGCTGGAGTACAGTGGGGCAGTCTTGGCTCACTGCAACCTCTGCCTTCCAGGTTCGAGCAATTCTCCTGCCTCAGCCTCCCTAGTAGCTGGGACTACAGGTGCACCCTACTGTGCCCGCCTAATTTTTTTTCTTTTCTTTTCTTTTCTTTTTTTGTATCTTTAGTTGAGACAGGGTTTCACTATGTCGGCCAGGCTGGTCTCGAACTCCTCCCAAAGTGCCAGGATTACAGGCGTGAGCCACCGCGCCCAGCCAGTTGTCACTTTTTCTTTCTTCTTTCTTTTGGCCAGTTGTCACTTTTTCTTTTTCTCTTTCTTTTCTTTTTTTTCTTCTTTCTTCTTTCTCGCTTTCCTTTTCTTCCTTCTTTCTCTTTTACTTTCTTTCTTCCTCTCCTTCCTTTCTTCCTTCCTTCTTTCCTTCCTTCCTTCCTCTCTCTCTTTTTTTGACACAGAATCTTGCTTTGTCATCCGGGCTGAAAAGTGCAGTGTCACAATCACAACTGGCTGCAGTCTCGACCTCCTTGGCTCAGGTGATCCTCCTGCCTCAGCCTCCCAAGTAACTGAGACCACAGGTGCGTGCCACTATGTCCAGCTATTTATTAGTAGTAGTCGTCATAGTTGAGATGAGGTCTCTCTGTATGTTGCCCGGTGTGGTCTTGAACTCCTGGGCTCAAGTGATCCTCCCACCTCAGCCTCCCAAACTGCTGGGACTACTACATGCTTGGGCCATCATACCCAGTATTTTTTTTTTTTTTAAATAGAGATGGAATCTATGTTGCCCAGGCTTGTTTTAAACTCCTGAGCTCAAGCGATCCTCCCATCTCGGCCTCCCAAAGTACTGGGATCACAGGCATGCACCACCTCATCTGGCCAGGTTTTCACTTTCAACATCCCAGATCCAACAAGGTCTAACCTGCCGTGGCCCTGCCTCTGCTCCACGAGGGCCCTCTGCCACGGACACACGGTCCTTTTCTTGTTTGTTCCCACATTAGGGCTTTGTGCTCACCATCTCCTCTGCCCAGGGATGCTCGACTCTTGATCACCACATCACATGGCTGGCTCCTCTTCCTCCTCAAGCAGGTCTCAACTCAAATGTCACCTCCTCGGGAAGGCCTCCCCAATCCCTCCAGCTAGTAATGTCACCTGCACACCCAGTCACTTGCTAGCACATGAAGCTGGTTCATTTTCTTTTTTTTTTTCTTTGAGACAAGGTCTCGCTCTGTCGCCCAGGCTGGTGTGCAGTGGTGCAATCACCACTCACTGCGGCCTTGACCTCCCAGGCTCAAGCAAGCCTCTCACCTTAGCCTCTCCATAGCTGGAACCACAGACGCGTGCCACCACACCCAGCTAATTTCTTATTTTTTGTAGAGACAGGGTCTCACTATATGGCCAAGCTGGTCTCAAACTCCTGGGCTCAAGCAATCGTCTCGCCTCAGCCTCCCAATGTGCTGGGATCACAGGCATGAACCACTACACCCAGCCGAGGCTGTTTCATTTACTGCATAACACTTCTGAGAATCTGCAATGATCCAATTTATTGGGTTATTTGTTCAGTCTGTAACCTCCCACTGGAATGTAAGCTCCGTGAGAGCAGGGACCATGTCTGTCTTGTTCACTCCAGTATTACTAGCATCTTAAACAACACCTGGTGTGTAACAGACGCTCAACACATACCTGTTGAATGAATGATGCAGGGGAAAGGGAAGTGAAAGGAAACGGAAGGAAGATGGGACCAAAGTCAGATGTTGGGAAGAGCGGGGAAGTTGGCTGGGCATGGGAGGGCCTTCGCAGGTGGCCTCTGATTGCTGTTTCAGGTGTTGTGAGCTACCCACAGGGGACAGGTCCTAAGCAGGAGACAGAAGCAGGAGCCCAGAGGCTGGAAGTAGAAATGCAATGGAGAGAACAGATACACACTTGTCAGGGAGAAAATGTTAAAGATGGGGCAGAGGGGCATGAGTGAGCCTGGGGGTCCTCACACTTTGCGGGAAGGGGAAGGTTCATAGGGACCGGAAGCAGGTGCAGGGCAGGGCAGTGGCAGATTGCACTCACACTCACATACATGATGGAGTGAGCGTCAACAAGGCCCTCCCTCCCTCCAAAACCAACAGGAGACTAGGACCCAGGTGGTGCCTGGGACTTACCCACAGGACAGCATCTCTCTGTAGGGATGGGGAAGTCACAGCGGAGGGCCACAGGGGGCGGGGCTGAGCCAGGGGCACAGCTGTGCACAGCGGCCCAAGCCAGGAGAGGAAGAACTACTCAGAAATCAGCCACTTCCTCCTCGATCCAGCCTGCCAGGCCAATGGCACCGCAGGGACAAACCCTGGACTAATAGTCTCCAGGAAAAGGACAGGTGGGGCGGGGCTGGCCTGAGACCGCCCACAGTGGCCAGCTTCCCTGCAGCCCCAGTGCGGGAGTACAGCAGGCCTGCCCGCTGGGCCAGGGCCCCCTTCCCTCGGGAGAGGAGGAGCCACCTGGAGCTCCACCTGGAGCTCAAGCTGACAGAGCAGCGGGATGCTGGGTAGGAGCAAAGACCAGGAAGTAACCCTGGCTGAGGGAAGAGCAACCAATGGGGGAAAGCTCTCAGTAGGTGGAAACCAAAGGGCCTAAGGGAAAGTCCTAACAGCCCAATTCCTCAGAGAAGGAGGTATCCCCTGTGCAGGCCCACCCACCCAGAGCATCGAGGGGCCCAGTCCAGCCTCTCACCCTGCCCTGGGGGAAGGGGAGGAGCCTCAGGCCCTCACTGGAGCAGGGTTAGGCCCAGCCAGGAGTATAGGAAGGAGCTGTACATGGGGACGGGGCCTGGAAAGGCAGAGGGAATCTGGGAAGGTGAGATGGGGGTTGTCAAGTCTGCAAAAGACTGACACCAAGGCTAAGTCACAGGCACGTTTATTATCATCTGGAACATCAAGGCCTTTCCTTCCCTGGGAGGGGCACAGGGAGGGCCAACTCTCAGGAGGCAGCCACGCTGCCACCAGCAGCAGGCCCGTGGGGTGGCAGGGTCATGGGCGGCAGGAACAGCGCCTTCAGCTTGCCTGACAGGCTGGCGATCTCAGGATCCTGGGCTTCGTAGGACTTGACCAAGCGAGCAAATTTAAGGACACCTGCAAGAGGGAGTGGAGGGTCAACGCTTCTTCCAAGGACCACCTGCGTAAGACAGCTGGAGTGGGTAGTAGTTTAAACATGAACTGCTTCCCCACTGGCTGGGCAGCTGTTTGCAAAACAGGACGCAAGCAGGCCTCTGTCCTATGTGGTTTGGATCAACTTCTTGGTCTACAATGGGCACAACTAGATGGGATGCAGTGAATGAAAATATCCCAAGGCAGTGTGCTTCTTGCTCTCAGGTGAACCCTTTTAGCAGTTTAGTCACTGGAACCCCATGAATGAACACGAGACTCCAGGTCTGTAGCTGGAACACAGGAAGGCTATGGGGCAGCAGAGCTGAATCAGTCAGCACCTTTGGGGAACACCAGGATCTCACCAAAAATTTAACCACCAACTCCCAAACAGAAATTAGCTGAAACACCCTGGAGAGACTGCAGCCACTGCTGTAATGCAGACATCTCACTAAAAGATGGCACAACAGCGTTGACGTCCAGCTCTGCTACTACTAAGAGTCTGCACCATTAGCGTTTGCTCCCTCATCACAAAATGGAATAATAATGTGATTCACAGTACAGGTTGACCATCCTTAATTAGAAAACCCAAAATCTGAAATTATTTGAGTGCCAGTGTGAAGCCAAAAATGGAAAATTCCACACCTGACTTCATGGTGGGGGGTGGGGGTGGGGGGACTGTAGTCAAAACGCAGTCAAAACTTTGTCTCATGCACAAGATTATTCAGACTATTATATAAAATTACCTTAAGGCTATGTGCTTAAGCTGTATGTATACGAAACAAAACAATTTCGTGTTCAGATTTGAGTCCCATCCCCCAAGATAGCCATGTATATGTAAATATTGCGAAATCTGAAAAAATCCGAAACACTTCTGGTCCCAAGTATTTCGGATAAGGGATACGTACAAAATGCAACTCGGAGGCACAAGCTCAGGGTAGACCCTGAGCTCTGAGTGCCAACACTGTCGCCGTGTGGCGAGAAAGGGGACAACCGCTCAGGGCCCCACAGATCCGACGCCCTCTCCCGACCCAACCCCCGCCTTCCCGCGTCTGACCCACCTTCCCCGTCGCAGCTGAAGCCATAGGCTTTGATAACCTCCTGCTGGATCTGCGTGGCCACGGGCAGCACGAATTGCAGCATCTTACCCATGTCGTTGCACGCGTTATCCCGAGCCTCGTCCATGCGCACTGCATTCTCAGGGGCGGAGAACGCCTGGATCACCTCCGCCAGGACCACTGCGCGTCAGAAGCATCCCAGGGAGGCGTCCCGGGTAGGGGTAGGAGAACGGAGAGCGGGCCCAGTGGAGAGCGCAGGGAATTAGTGGATTGGGCTATAGGTAACCCAATAAGATCCCGAGTCTTGGGGGTAAGCGCCCCACTTAGAACGACGGGACCCGGCGTCCCCTACCCTGTTTTCCCGGCGGACGAAGCCAGGTTTGTCGCCCCACATCCTCCGCCCGCATCCTCCCCGGACCGGCAACCCATGCCTTGACTACGATGATTCTCACCCTTTGCCTGCTCAGCGCTCAGGGCCGCGGGTTGGGCCGCGGCGGACGCCATACGGCGTCTGAAGCTGCAAGTGCAGCTGAGGTAAATGGAAAGATCAGGAAGAAAGAGCCACGTCCTACAACAGTTCCCAAGACCAATGGGGGCGGAAACGAAGCAGCATCCGGCGTAGCCGGAAGCCCCCAGGCGTGGTCCGAATCTTCGTACCCAAACCTTGTAACATCGCTCGCACCGAGAACACTACTAAAAGAAGCTTGCGGAAATCATGCGCACTAAATAGATTCTATTATTATGAACAAGCTATGTGAAAGGGGCTTTCCGGCAAATACCGGAAAGCCTGCTAGACAAATTCTAAAAGAGCTGTAACACTGCTGCGCATGTGTCTAGAGAGAAGAAGGGATATGCATGAACTCCACAACTGGTGAGGGTGAACTCAAGTGGCTTTTTTTCTTGTTCCTATTACTGTATAAACAACGATGCATGTTGTAACTTTCAGTAGGAAAAAGAATATTCTAAGGAACTTAAGTCATTCATTTCTAGAGTTCGCGAACATTTGCTCTCAGCCTATGCAAATGAGTTCGATGCTGATTGGTTGAGATACCAGCCAGTCACAGCCCGTTCGTCGTTGTTAAGCACAGAGACCTGGATTCGGCAGTAAAAGCCCAGAGCAAAAGCCATTCTCGCACTTTCCTAAAATGGCCTTGTCTACTGATGGGCGACGGAGCATAACGCCCGGCCTGATTTCCCTTCCCTTCCAGGCTTTTGAGATTATTAACCACTCCCTTCTCAAACTATAGGGTGGTTAAGGTACTAATCGCCTGGACCTATTAAAACTAGCCCACCCCATCCCCGCTTCATAACTGGTTTTGTTTTTTTGTTTTTGAGACGGAGTCTTGCTCTGTCGCCAAGCTGGAGTGCAGCTAGGGGGATCTTGGCTCACCACAACCTCCTGGGTTCAAGCGACTCTTCTGCCTCAGCCTCCCAAGTAGCTGGGACTACAGGCGCGCACCACCATGCCCAGCTAATTTTTGTTTTTAGTAGACACAGGGTTTTGCCATGTTGGCAGGCTGGTCTCGAACTCCTGACCTCGTGATAAGCCCGCCTCGGCCTCCCGAAGTCCTGGGATTACCAGGGTGAGCCGCCGCGCCTGGCCTCATAACCGTTTCTTAAACTATTCCACGGAAAGGATTCAGGACTCTGAAGCCTTTGTTCCAGAGGACTCTGGTGGCTCCTAACAGTGAGACCCCTCTGAATAGATTCCAAGACCTGACCATGTCAGAGGTGGGCCTGTCCCAGGCCTCTAGTGTTTGGTTGGTTGGGGTTTCGAGATAGAGCCTTGCTTTGTCACCCAGGCTAGAGTGCAGTGGTGCGATCATGACTCACTGCAGCCTCGACCCCCAAGTGATCCTCCCACCTCAGCCTCCTGAGTAGCTAGGACCACAAGTGCACCACAACGCCCAGCTGATTGTTTTTTAAGATGGGGTTTCTCTATGTTGCCCAAGCTGGTTTCCAACTCCTAGGCTCAAGCAATCCACCCACCTCAGCCTCCCAAAGTGCTGGGATTACAGGCATGAGCCACAGAGCCCAGGCCCAGGCCTCCAGTATTTTGACTTCCCAGCCTTGGGACAGGAGGGAGCACTAGCACCCCGGGTGCCACCTCCGGCTGAGTCAATGCTCCGGGCTCTTCAGGGATCCCCTCGCCAATTCTTCCCAGCCCCTACCCCCAGTTCCTTAAGAAGGACTGGTCTCTTCCCGCTTCCCTGCCAGACCCTGACTGCAGTTCTAAGTACCGCTGCAGAGACCCAGCCTCACCCCCATATCCCGCAAAGAACAGTCACAGCCATGTTCCTGGGGAGTTGTGAGGATGTTTTTGTTTGGTTGGTTTTGGTTGGGATGTTTTTTAAGAGCGTCATATAGATATTTATATATATAAATTATTAATGTGGGGAAGGGGCAAGGGGCATACATTGCAAAGGGGGCGCGCACACAGGGATCGGGGAGGGGCAGGGGTGGCACACGATGCTACGCAAAACAGCCACATCTAACAGATGAAATAATCACACCAACAGGGCAGGGGAGGGGCGGCGGCCACGGGGGTTGGGCATGGGGGAGAAGAAAAGCAGGGGGGACAAGGAAGAGAGACCTGGTCCAAGATTCTGTGCGCTTTCTGTCCCCATCCTCGCCTCCTCCCCACCTCTGCACACCACACCAGACCTTGGCCTTCTGTCTGTCCCTCCCTCCCCCACTCTCTGTCCAGCTGCGGAGGCCCTGCAACTGAGCAGCACCCTCTTGGCTCTGGGTGGCAGGCCAAGGGTGGGGTGGGGGGAGGGTGGGGATGCTCCAAGGTCCAATGTAGGAGCCGTGGTGCTCTCTTGATCGCAGGTTCTACAGTGGCTTGTCGCTCTCCTTCTTCAGGTGACTAGGGAAGGGGCAGTGCATAGCAGAGAGGTGAGAGACTTGAGACCAACCCCGACCTTGCCCCCTTACCGAAGGGGTTGGGAGAGGAGGGGTTCCCTCTCCCAGGAGTACAGTGCCCAGCTGTTCCATGCCCACAGCCCCTCCCAGGCTCGCTGAGCCCATGTCCCCCTGGGGACCCTGGGGTACCTGTAATAGTCCTCCTGGGCAGGCAGCGGCACACTGTGCAGCGGGTGATGGGCATGCAGCCACTGCTGCTGTTCCAGCGCCAAGCGCTGCAGCTCAGCTGACTGTGCGTGCATGGCCTGCAGCTGATGAGCTGCTGACATTGGGGCAGAAAGGGAGGCCGGCAGGTCCCGGTAAGGGGCAGCTGTGAGCAGGAAGGGCAAGGGTCACATGACCAATGGATAACAAGCACCTGCTCTGGACCAGGGGATAGCCAGCTCCTTTACATACAAAGGTAATGAACTAAAAAGTTAGGTAACACAGCCAGTTCTGTAAGTTGCCAGTGGTAGAGTGGAATTGGGATTCAAACCTCTTAGGCTGACACTAAAACTTGTGCTTCTCTTGGGCAGAGGTTCAGCTCTCCTATTCCCATGCCCAGCTCCTCTAGGCATCTCCTCATTCCTCCTCAAGCCCAACTAGGCCCATCCCCCCACCTAAATACCTCCTTTCTGCCCTTTTCTCATTACAGCTTGCCTACCCCAACTTCCATCCTTACCAAAGAGCTGGTGACGAAGAACTTCGTTCTCGTGCAGAGGGTGAGGAAGCAGGGGGTTAGGGAGAGTTCCAGCTGGGTAGGGGATCCGAGTAAGGTGAGACCCTGAGGCCAGGGGGTCGATGAGAGGGTGCACTGAGGCAGAGGCTGGAAAGCAGAGAAGAGGAAGGTGTCACCAGAAGGCAGGTTTAGGGAAAACCATGCATTTGGGTGAAGGGATCCAAGCCTGGGAATTGAGTTGGACAAACACAAGGAGCTCCAAAGTGGAACAAAGGCAGAATGGAAGAACTAGAGGCCTGTGGGGGGGGGGGGTGGACAGGCTGAGCCCTACTGGAGGAGGGACATATGGATGACAGAGGACAGGAAATTACAGTCATCAGAAGGGTCTGAGGGGAAGGAGAGGGAGAGGTAGACTGCTTGAAGGAGGTGGAAGATAGAAGTTTAGGAAATAAGACAGGAAGTGGCCAGGTGCGGTGGCTCAAGCCTATAATCCCAGCACTTTGGGAGGCTAAGGCAGGCGGATAACCTGAGGTCAGGAGTTCAAGACCAGCCTGGCCAACATGGTGAAACCTTGTCTCTACTAAAAATACAAAGAAATTAGCCAGGCATGGTGGCACACGCCTAGTCCCAGCTCTTCAGGAGGCCGAGGCAGGAGAATCGCTTGAACCTGGGAGGTGGAAGCTGCACTGAGCCGAGATCGCGCCACTGCACTCTGGTTTGGGCAAAAGAGCGAGACTTGGTCTCAAATTAAAAAAAAAAAAAAAAAAAAAAAGCAAGCGGGTGCAGTGGCTCACGCTTGTAATCCCAGCACTTTGGGAGGCCAAGGTGGGCGGATCACAAGGTCAAGAGATCGAGACTATCCTGGCCAACATGGTGAAACCCCATCTCCATTAAAAATACAAAAATTAGCTGTATTTGGTGGCACACGCCTGTAGTCCCAGCACCTCAGGCAGGCAGTGCCTGCTGAGGCAGAAGAATCGTTTGAACCCGGGAGGCAGAGGTTGCAGTAAGCTGAGATCGCGCCACTGCACTCCAGCTTGGCGACAGGGCGAGACTCCGTCTCAAAAACAAAATGGTGAAAGGATAGTAAGTAAAGCTCATTATTGCCTATGACACCCAAACCCAAAGCTACAGGGCCCCTTCTAGGAAGTTACAGATCTAGAGATGGGGAAGAACATGAAAGACCTCCCACTGTGAGAAAAGGAGAAAATGGCAAAAAATAAGAGTTGAATCCAGAGAAATCAGAAAATAGGTTTGTGGATTGGGCACGGTGGCTCACGTCTGTAATCTCAAGACTTTGGGAGGCCAAGGTGGGTGGATTGCTTTGAACTCAGGAATTTGAGACCAGCCTGGCCAATATGGCAAAACCCCATCTCTACCAAAACTACAAAAATTAGCCAGGTATGGTGACACACGCCTATAATCCCAGCTACTCTGGAGACTGAGGTAGGAGGATCACTTGAGCCCAGGAAGTTGAGGCTGCAGTGAGCTGTGACTGCACCAGTACACTCCAGGCTGGGTGGCAGAGCGAGACTATGTCTCAAAAAAATAAATAGGATATGTTTGTGAAGGGCTTGGGAGAATGGGGCTGTGAGGATAGAAAGGTGTGTCCTTCAAAGGCTCCCACCTGGACCTGTCATGGGTAGGATACTAGACTATGGAGAGGACTGGGGTGTGGGGAATACAGGCTCTGTGGCCAGGCAAGGCCATAAGGAGACAAGGCTGAGAGAACGTCAGGGAGGCAAAGTTGAGGGCAGCAATCTCAGGAAAAGTTCATGCCAGGCCAGGGGAGGAAAGTCTCAGCCAGAGGAACAAAAGAGCCCCGTCATGATGGGGGAAGGTGGCCCCAAAGAGCCAGGGAGAGGAAGGAGGGGGTCTCACCTGCATGGATAGCATCTTGCTGGTGCAGGTGCAGGTGCGAGTGGATGTGGGAGTGCTGGTGGTGATGGGGAGTCACATTGAGCATCTGCAGCCGGGCCAGCGGGTCATTGCCCAGGGCCGCCACCCTTTCTGCGTGCTGCCTCTCAGCTGCCAGCCGCTCAGCATAGGACATGTCAGGCCGCAGGGCTGGCCCAGCTGCCAGCGCTAGACGTTCTCGATCCAGGGGCCCCAGGCTCGGATGAAAGGGGAAAGGGTGCAGGCCAGGTGGGCCAGGCTGCAAAGCCAGGCCCCCATGTCGGGGAAAGGGATCCAAGCCCGGCCCAGGGACCCCATGTAGGGGTTCCAGCTCACTAGGCTTCACCTCGAAGCCAGGCTTGAGGCGGTCACGGAGGTCTCGTTCACGAGCTTCCCGTTCCCTCTCCCGGGCAGCAGGATCACTGCTGTACAGGGCCGGGACATTGTAACCCAGGAGCCCCGGGTCCACTGCCCCCAGGGGCACGTAGAATGGATGGTTGCGATTGCCAGGAGACATGACATGAGGCCGGGCATATTCACTGAGAGTGCGCAAGGCTGGAGTGTCAGGACCCAGGTAGGGGGGCACTGTAGCCACCGCACTGCCCGGTTCAAATGGAGGGCGATGGGGCACTGGGCCCAGAGATGGGCATTCCACCGGAGCACGGCCCTCCTGAGCCAACTTCTGTGGGGTACAGGGAAAAGTGGAGTCAAAGCAGCAGTTATGAGGTGGCTGGTTTCAAGCTGCCCATTTGTTTCCACAGCTGAATGCCAAAATGCCTCACCTCACTGAAACTGCCCACCTGGAACTTAACTGC